TTATGCTGCAAAGGGGATTTTGAAGATTCTTTACCGAATTGTGGTTTTCTATCAAAAGGAACACCAGGATAATCATCTATATCCTCTTCTTCTGCTGGAAACATCAGCATTCTCATTTCTTTCATCTTTACAGGATCTAACCCAAGATGAGCAGGAAGAGAATGTGAGAGGTCAGTTGTATTGGCTAAAAAGGTTTCTTCATCAATGTCAGAAACGTCTCCTCCGATCATATCCGCAGGATCTTGAACTTCAGGAGACACACCATCAATAATCATATCTTCATCTTCTTCCTCATCATTCAAACCAAATCTGCTGAAATGCTGAACGAAGAATTTCCATTCTCCATTTGATAGATCAAATGAGATAAAACGTGCTCCTTGTTTCTCTGTTCTAAGTCTTAATTTCTCCACCAGTCCTCTAGAAGAATCCACGTCATAGTGTTTGGAGGACCGTACTTCCAGCAGCAAAGTTACTTCAGCAGGCTTGTTAAGCCCCATACCAACTGGGGGCTTGTCATTTTCATCTTCATATACAATCACCTCATGTCTGCTAAACTTAACAATTCGATCCAAATCCAACCCCCTAACATCTGTTTCCCCAGAAAATTCGACAAATCCATAACCAAACCTCCCAACAGTAAAATTTTCAACTTTACTGCAATACCCTGAGCTCATAAGCTCCCTAACAGCCAATTCACTCAAGCATGGCTCAGTAAAATAATCAGGAGATCGCAAGGTAGGTAAATCAGCTTCGTTCTCGCCCAAAATCTGATCTAAAGCAGAAATTTTTCTTCTCTTACATTGAGACTGAGAAACAATAAGTTGTTCAGGATTCCCTAAATCAACCTCCATTACTATGTTACTTCTTCCAAAATCTCTACGAGTTTCGTTACAAATGCCTGATAATCAAATTCAAATGCACATATTAAACTTACATGGGTAACGCAACAGTAACAAAAAATTGGCATGGCTCAGACTAAAGAGTTAAGGGCATTGAATGCGGGAAAACGAATCAAAAAAGAAAAAAACACAAAGCAGCTCTCAAAACCCTAATAAGTTCGAATGAATCTACCACAGATAACGACGAAACAGAAGTAAAAAATGGAATGAGCTTACCTTCGACTAATGATACAACAATTAGGGATTCTTAGTTTCCTTAACTTGACAGAGTTCGTCTTCATGAATGTGGCTGAGACTGTGGAGCGAGACGAAGGGTTTTAGCTTTGCTTTCTCAATTTTCCCAAACTCCCGCCTCTACCCCTCTTGCGAACACTCTGGTCACTAGCACGTGCGGGCACGTGATGTGTTAAAGGGTAAAATGGGAACTTGCACCTTTTTTGAATTCTTGTCGAGTTATGTTATTCATTTGTTTGGTGTGATGTATAAAAATAAATAGTAATGGGATAATAAGAAATAGTGATCATATCGAACTTGTATATCTTGTTGGTTATTATGTTTGGAAAACTTATCTCACCGTTTATATAATAGTGATGAAATAAATAATGAAATAAGATTATCCCGTAATAGCTAATTGCAAGATAATTAATCTTAAAATAACTTATCTTCAACTAAACTAAACGAGAGTGTTAAATTTTAGCGCAAGTAATACTATCTTATTTTGTAGCAGAGGTTTGCTAAACTATTAAATTCAATACACCTAATAAGTCATCGTGGGTATGATTTTGTAATTTAAAATTTTGGATAATTAATATATAAATTATGATGGTATTTATGTATATTTTATGTAAGATTATAAAAAAATTGTATAATTAATACATAAATGAATTAAGGCAATTAATTCTTACGTGAAATAGTATATAATTTTTCTCACAATTAATATTTATATAGCTGATATTTATATAACTTTAATCGTCTTTTAAACAACCATTTTGTTCTCGTTTGATTCATGAACGAAAATATATGTCTGATTTACAATGCAACATTTATAATACTAGAATTAAAAAATTTTGACTATGTAGTACAGATGTTTTGTTTAGTTCCTTAATTGAAAAATGAGATATATATTGTTTATAAAAAAAATAATGTGTTTAGTTATTAGAAATTGAATTAAGTTGGTTGAACTTTTGTTTTGGGTTTTAACATTGGACTTTGTGAAGAGATATTCGGATATATATGTCATTTGATTATTTTAATTGAGAATTAGTTATAGATTTTGGTATTATGATCCCATAATCTCACATTCTGAAATAAACAATTATTGACTAAAAATAAATTAAAATTAATTCTACATTTTATCAAAATAATAATTATATCATTAATTATTTTATCTTCAATATTTGTAACGGATAATTCTAATAAGTTGAACAACCTATGTTAGAAGTATTTGGAGTGAAATAACAATTTACTTACAAAAGCACTGAGATAAATAAATAAAAAATAAAAAAAACGTAGCTAAAATCCCAATAATTAAATTTTATGCATGAGTGTCATCATTTTGCCTAACGTAAAATCTGCGTTCATCATTAACAAATTTTTTTAAACACACCATGTTTTATATAAGTACTTGTTACTTTAGTCACATCAAGAAAGGACCTACAATGAATTGGTATTGCAAATTCATGCATGCATAATGATCGAGAACAAATACATATTCTCATGATTTGTATTTTAAAATCACTTCATGAACATTGAAAATTTAAATTATGATATTCTCAATTGAATATAAGTATGAATAAAATATCCAAACAAAAATAATAAATTGATATCTCTAATAAATTGTCATCATTTTATACCTATATTTGGTATCGCTTTCTTCTTTGCAAATAAGCATATGATTACAAGTGAAAATACAAGTCCCTTTTGTTGTATCTGAAGTTGCTCGTGGTAAGTCTAATCATAGAGGATAATAAAATTATAGTAAGTTCATTAATAATTATGCTACTTCATTTTACATGAAAACTTAGTATTCATAGAAATATTACATTTTGGTAGTTTAGAATTGTAGTTTTCAAAGTAAATTATTTTAATTTTGAACCACGATATATATAATATTTATATAAATATATTAATTATAAACTCCCGCGAACAAGAAGCAAGCTTTAGCAGAGTGATTGATAGTTTGATAGACACTTTTAAAATTTACCGTCACGTCATGTATAAGGTTCAAATTTCATCGTGAAACTTACATTTTCTTAGCTTCTTTTTGGCTAAAAAAAAGATTAACCTTTTATATTTACAAAATATATATTACTACTTTTTAGAATTTATTTTTTGTTAGTCTTTTCACATATTTATAGTTTATTTTTAATATGCTCAATTAAAATCTTAAATCTACCACGATTAACGTAGCAATCCAACTCCAGACTAAGTTTATCGCTCCTAAAATTTTACTTGAGACAACTTTGCGGAAATTTGGTACTGTTACATCAAAATCACTGCTCCAATGAAACATACATATGATGTAACACAAATAAATATGGGAATAATTGTATACAATAACAAATTAATAACCTAAAATAAATAGAGTAGCTATTGTTTGATTTAATTGTGCTCCATAATAAACGTTTGCCAAAGTTTCTCAGTCGTCTCTCTCTCAAAACTCTCGCTCGTCACTCTTCCATTCTCGCTCACCACTCTCCCTCCGCTCGCCTCTCTTGCTTTATACAACAGAAGTGTATAAATTGTGTTTCTGTTTTTGTATAGAGCTAGAGAAAAACTATATTTTCTTCCTATAAACTTATAATTATACAATATTAAAAAATATTACTTCGATTCAATTGTATGCAAAAGAAATTTTATACACATATTGCAGCAAAATAGGTCAACGAATTATACAATTGTGTATTATACAATTGCAGTGAAATAGGCCAGTGAATTATGCAATTGCAGCGAAATAGGCCAGCGAATTATACAATTTAGGCCAACGAATCATACAATTGTATATATATAACGAGACCAGCGAATTATACAATTTAGGCCAGCAAATTATACAGTTGTATATGTATAGCAAATTATACAATTATATATTTGCTATAGAACACAATTATACAAACTTTATTATAACATATAAAAATTTGCTATATATGAAAATTGCCCATAAATATATACTACGTAATGGTATATGTCTATTTAGAGATAAAAGTCAAATATTTCAGCTATATTACAAAACTAAGAATTAAGACAGCTAGCAGAGAGACGCGTGCAGGGAGAATTAAAAAGCGGCTTCAGGACCAGATTCAAATTTTATCGGGTTCTCATTTTTAAGATGATGGAATCAATTGCAGATAGTAAAATTTTTAAATTTTATTCTTATATGTATTAAATATATTTTTTTTAATGGAAAGAGACATTTAGAAATTGATCTATTCCAAAATTTATTACTATGTAGAAACATATTATCCTTCGTTAGTTAGGCTAGATTATGACTTTAACAACCTCACGAGTTGAGGTGGAGACAAAACACCTTCTTTTTAGAAAGAATATTGTGATTTAAAATCAATTTATATAACAGATAACTTATTGTTTCAAATTATTTCATTAAAGATTAAAATAAAAATCTTAAAATAATTCTTTTTAGATATATATGAATAATTAAATACAAGATATTTAAATTTTCTTTCCAATACTATTAAATTTGCTAAATTTTGGAATTTGAACGGAGAGATTCAGTCAAATATGTACACAAATGCATATATATGGTAATAATCTTAGGAAATATGCCATCTTACTGATATTCTATCCTTTGTTCCGGCTCATTGACAGGGAAAAAAAAGGAGGAGGATATTTTTACTTTTAATAAACTCTGTACTATCCTTTTCACTGAGAATTTTTTTTATAATCATATAAATATTCACATAAAAAACTTATTCACATCAACTCAAATTATACTGCATAAAAGAAAACAAGGAAAAGCTATATAAAGTACCCATCATAGGTTTGTCATGCAGTAAAAACAACAACTGCTTCCAAAATATATTTTTAATAGCTAAGACAAATTCGAATTCAGATTAATGGAACTTTACAACCCCGTAATAATTTGGAGGTGAAAGCCAAAAGAGTCGCTTACAAAAGCCCCTGAAAACCTTTAACCTTCTTCCCCTGCATCTCTTATGCTAATCACTTCCCTTGCTTTTATAACCTCTAAATTTCCCCATGTCTCGACCACAACAAAAATATCGAGGTGTTCGCCAGCGCCATTGGGGATCTTGGGTTTCCGAAATTCGTCATCCTTCATTGTAATTCTTCTCCCTCTTTTCTCTTTTACTTACAATTCGTTTCATCAGTCAAGAGCAGAGCTAGCTTGGAGTTGTTGAAAATCTTAATATTTGTTTCAGTGGTCAACTTAATGGTCATTGTTAGTCAGAAAATGAAAATCTTAATAGTTCAGTTGATTGGCTTGATTTTTCATATTGTAATCTCCTCCATCGCCCTAATGTAACAAAAATAATAATCTTGTACAGGAAAACACGGATATGGCTGGGAACCTATGAGACATCAGAGGATGCTGCGAGGGCATATGATGAAGCAGCGAGACTCATGTGTGGTTCAACAGCACGCACTAATTTCCCATACAATGCAACAGAATCTTCAAGGTTTCTGTCTTCTGCTTTGATAGCTAAACTTCAAAGATGCAACATGTCATCTCTCACTGCTACGTCAAGAAGACCTGGAAAGACAAGATTGGAAGATAAAAAAGAGAACGAGATATCCACGCTTGTTAGAGACACGGGAGATGGAGAAGAAAGGCAGAGTGAGAGTGCATCACAACAATACATGAAGGCACTTGAAGATGAACATATAGAACAGATGATTGAGGAATTGCTTGATTATGGATCTATTGAGATGTGTTCTGTTCGCAATGAATAAGACATAAATGCAATAATTAGCTTCAAATGAAAATCATTACGTACGTTTTTGTCTATTTTTATTTTTATTTGTCCACTGCACTAAACAGTTTAATCTATTTATTAGAATTTGTGATTCGAAAACAAAGTGTGAACTCATGGAGGAGTGATATGATCCTTTTTTTCTACAAAATTCTGAAACTTAACAGACACAGATACCTTGGGAAAGCAGTAAGCTTTTTGACTATTGATTTTTCTTTTATGTTCTTTCTTCTGGGACTAGATCTGGTGAATCCACAACCAAATAATTCAATAGCAGAAATGTTGCATTCATAACAAGGTAATATCAACAATTTACGTAGCCTCCTTCAATTTTCAAAATCAAATAATTCAATTTTTATTATAAGACTTTTAAAATAAATTTAAAAATTACGTAAAATATTGTAAGTTCTAATCTTACAATAATTTGAATACACATGACTCACGAAATCATGTTAATCGTTTCTGTATTGTTTTAATTTTATTACGTGTCTCGTAAGTGAATGCATCCTAACCTATAGACCTACATAATACAAAGAGACAAAAAGAGATTGGAAATGCGATCAAAATAGTCTTTTCTTTCGTATCAGTAACAGTACATTAAATAGGAAATGCCTAATTGAATTTGACGAAGACTACGATTAGAATGGTGACATCTTAACATATTATTGAACAATAATACATCAGTTGAAACAATGTCAAATTAGTTGAAATTTGAAATATAAAGGTGAATATACAAGCTATTATGAAAACCAGAAATTAAAATACGTAGCATAAATGCAAATTGAAGGGAGGTTTTGTAAAAAGTACCGTTGCTAATTATTATGTTGCCTGTTTTAATAGTGAATTTGACGAATTTTTAAATTTAAATTATATTACATTAATTTGATATTTTAAGAAAAAAAAGATAGATATTAAAAAGGTAAACAAAAACTACAATAAATTACAAGCTTTTTTTTTGCTAACATCATGAAATGTTAATTACAGTTCTTGAAAAAGTCTTTTTGACCAGAAAGTTTAGTCAGAATTTAATCAGAATAGTATTTTAATAATGGTATTTTATCTTTTTAAATATTTTATTTTTTTAATTGTAAACATTTTAAGTTAAAAATTCAAAAAAAAAACAATTTTTTTAATAAAAAAATATTTTAAAATTTCTAACTTGATTATATTTAAAATTGCGGTGTACCATACAAGAGTGATAACTAAATGAGGAGTGTCTTTCGGGCAAGTATTGTTTGGCTTTCATCCCGACACGTGCATATTAGTTATGACGTGACATGGTTCAAAAATATTTCGATTTGTTCGATATAAATTTTATTTTAAATATTTTACTTCCTATGTTTTATTTCACGTGAAATAACTTTTTTTCTGTTTCATGTGAAATTTTTTATTTTTCGAGTCACATCGTTTAATTTTGATAAAATATTTATGTATAAATTTTTTAATTTTTTAAAAATAAATTTTATATACTTATAAACTATATAAAATTTTTATTTTTTGAGTCACATCGTTTAATTTTGATAAAATATTTATGTATAAATTTTTTAATTTTTTAAAAATAAATTTTATATACTTATAAACTATGTAAAGAGTGCTATAACTTACAATAATTAATAATTTAAAATATTAAAAGAATTTATGAAAAAATTATATTAAAAAATAAATTTATTTAAATCTTTTAATGTGAAAAGTGCCACATAAAATGAGACGAAAAAGTATGATATTTCGTACATATTTTAAAAATATATTATGATATTTTGTGCATATGAAAAATTTTCATGCTTAATATGTTTTATATTTGTATACATATATATTAATACCCTTTTTTATATTTTATTCTGTTCATTTACTTTTACTCCGCTTGACATTTACCATAAATTTATATTTTTATATTATGATATCTTAATTTATATTCAGATATGATTTCAGTTTCTAGAGAAATCATGAGGCATAAGTTTGATTAATAAAATCAATCCACAGAAGTTTGAATGTAAAACATGCAATTCTTTGAATCAATTGTCAATTTTATTGTAAAGTTAATCATAAATGCTAACTCACCCAACTGTTTAAACTAAAGACAAATTTCACATAAATAATATACTTAATAATTAAGGAAATATGCAGAATCTACGTATACCAGCTCAAAAAAATAAACGTAAGTATTCATCGAGTTATTTGTGTAAATACTATAATTTTTTGTATAAATTTAAGGAATCCCATAGTGTAATTCAATAATTACATTCTGTCCCGACAAGTTTAGTAATTACAAAAAATCCCTTAAATGTGTTGAGCCGTGATACTTTAAATTGTAGTGATACATGGTAAATGATACATGGTAATTTAAAACTGTTGAGAAAAAATAGGGGGAAAAAACGGTAAAGTTATGTTGTTAGTAAAACAACTTAATTTGTGGTAACAGATCATTAATCAGCATTAAATCAGCAATTAATTGGATATTAATTTCAAATTTTTATCATGCCCCTTCTCAATTCTCATCTTATGTTTGTTTGTTCGAACAAACTATCAATTTATTTGACACCTTTTTTTAGTTGAATTACTGAAATTTTATCCATTTTATAGTCGCACAAGATATATATAATATCATTCAATTACTACTTTGGTGCAGTCGGAGGATGATGGACAAGGCGGGAGAAGGAAGAAGAAAGGGTTGAAAGAGAAGATAAAGGAGAAATTCACAGGTGGAAAGCACAAGAATGAGGAACCACATCACCAAA